GGGGGGGCGGGGACAGTAGGGGGGGATGGGGACAGCTGTAGGGGGCTTTCCTGCCCGGAGCACAGTGCCAGTTTTGGGGGTGTACCCGAACCCTCATGCCCTTCACTGTGCCCCCATCCCACACGGTACTCTGGCCTCCTCCCCAGGTCATCGGGCTGCTGGACGTGTTCACCCCTGATGAAACCCTGGATGATTTCACAGACTTGTGAGTGAGGTCCTGGGCAGGCTGCGCAGGGCAAAGGCGTGTTGGGCTGCTCCTGGCTGCTGACTCGGGTTCTGGGTTGGCATGTGGGGGTCCCTGCAGCCTGGGTCGGGGTCGGGAGGCACACTGCCCACCCCTTCCCCACACCGCAGCCCACCCCCTGTCACAGGCCCCCCAGACCCATGGTGGTGACACAGCTGGGTGGAGCTGGAGGTGTGAGCGTGGGACTGCATGGTTAGTCAGCAGGTCCCGTGCTCTGGGACCCTGGCATCCTGGGTAGCCTGTAACTAGAGCTGCTGACCTTTGCTGGCAGGCAGGGGAGGGGTAGCAGGGGGGCCTGCCTGTGGCTGCCATCCCTGGATTCACACTGAGGCCGGCCAAGAGCCAGGGGCTGAGCCGGGGAAGGGCTGAGGACAGGCTCCTCACCGCCTGACCTTGCAGAGGTCAAGGACCCGCACAGGCTCCTGTGCTGAACGTCTGTCCTCTGTATCTCTCTCCCTCCACCTGCCCGGCATGCTCCTCCCACCCATGTATCCTGCCGTCCCCCACTGCCCACAGGCCCTGCCCTCCTTTCTCTTGCACCCTCTTCTGCCTGTGATCCCTGGCGCTCCCCAGATCCTAGCCTCTGTGCGGCCCTGATGCACCTGACGGTTCTGGGGCAGGGTGGGCGGAAGAGCTGTGGGTGTGCGCTGGAGAGGTGGGTGGAGCCTGGTGTTGCCCTGTGGAAGGTGGAGCCCGCATGCTGCGGGGGCGCCTCCAGGATCTCCAGGGGCTGAGTGGGTGTGACACCTGCCGTCTGCACCCACCCCGGTCCTTCAGTTACCTGGTGATGCCATTCATGGGGACTGACCTGGGCAAGCTCATGAAGCACGAAAAGCTGAGTGAGGACCGAATCCAGTTCCTTGTCTACCAGATGCTGAAGGGGCTAAAGGTGGGAGTGTGCGGGGCGTGCTGCAAGCCGGGCTGGGGCTGGGGTAGGACTGCTGGCCCATGGCTCTGAGGTCCCAGTGAGCTGGCCACCGCTGACCGTCTCTCTGTCCCCATAGTACATCCATGCTGCTGGCATCATCCATAGGGTGAGTCCTGGTGGTGGTGGGCACTTCCTCTGGCCTGTAGGTGTGGGAGGGGCCTGGCTGCCAGGAGCCCCCATTGCTGGCCTGTCAGGGCAGTGTGTGTGATGCCCGTGTGCAGCTGTGGGGGCCGAGGGACCTTCCTGGAAGGGCTGCTGGGTGGGGCTGGCCAGGGCGGGCTCTTCCCCCGTGCACCCCCATGGGAGGGGCTGCACGGCCACCTTTCTCCCGCCCCCAGGACCTGAAGCCCGGCAATCTGGCAGTGAATGAGGACTGTGAGCTGAAGGTGTGTGTTGGGTCGGGGAGGGTTCTCCCCACCTGTCCATCTGCCTGTTGCCCTTGGCCCTCAGGCCCGAGCAGAGGGACCAGACCCCAGCCGTCCAGGCCAGGGGAGGCACTAGATGCAGACACTAGGGCATGGGGCGCATTCCATATCTCATTGAGGTGAAGGGAGGGAGGTATCCCCAGTTCCCCATGCCTGGGCCAGGGTAGGGCCAAGGGGACCTCTCCAAATGTGCTGTTGGCCAGGTCCTGGGGTCAGCAGGGAGTAGAGGAACAGGGAAAGGAGACCCACCGGGGCGCCTGCTCCTGAGGGTGGTGGAAGGCGAGGTCAGGGGGGCTGGGTGCACTGGCCATGGGGAGGAACTGTTGGGGAATCTGTGGCCATGACCTCAGGTCCTGGAGGTTTGGCAGGAGGCCCCGGTGTGCCCAGTTCTCCTGGATCACAGGCTGACCCACCTACTCCCTGGGGGCCTCTTCGCCCCACCTTCCTGATTCTGACTATAGATCCTGGACTTCGGCCTGGCGAGGCAGGCAGACAGCGAGATGACTGGGTATGTGGTGACTCGGTGGTACCGGGCGCCTGAGGTCATCTTGAATTGGATGCGCTACACACAGACAGGTAAGAAGCTGCCCAGAGACTCAGCCACTCCCGACACCAGCCTCCCAGGCCACACCCGCCTGCTTCCATTTCTTTATGGGAAGTCCAATGGTGGCTCCTCCGTGGGGAGGCTGCTGAGCTGGGATGGGAGCCGGGCGAGGGTGTGGCAGGCTAGATGGCCCCCTTGTCTGTGTCCCCCCCATGTGTGTCCCCCTGCCCTCCCTGGCCTACAGAGCCCTGATGCAGGGGCTTCTGTCTCAGTGGATATCTGGTCGGCGGGCTGCATCATGGCGGAGATGATTACAGGGAAGACGCTGTTCAAGGGCAGTGACCGTATCCTACACTTGTGGGGGGGCAGCCTGGGCCTGGGTGGGGGCTGGGCATGCTGTCCTGGCCAGGTGGGGTGTGCCCTGCTCTCTGGCCCTGTGCTGTGCTCCTCAGCTTGGCACAGACCTGGACCAGCTGAAGGAGATCATGAAGGTGACAGGGACGCCTCCCGCTGACTTTGTGCAGAGGCTGCAGAGTGCCGATGTCAGTCGGGAGCTGGACGGGGGCTGGAGGGGCTGGGCCTGGGTCTGTGGGTTGGTCCCTTACCCTTTCTTCCTGAAAAGGCGAAGAACTACATGAAGGGCCTCCCCGAGTTGGAGAAGAAGGATTTTGCGTGCATCCTGACTAATGCAAGTCCTCTGGGTAGGACTGGACTGGGGGGGGAGTGTTGGGTCAGTGACGAGGGCATCAGGGCCTGGGACCCTCCCTGACCAGCCCTCCCCGCAGCTGTGAACCTCCTGGAGAAAATGCTTGTGCTAGATGCAGAGCGGCGGGTGACTGCGGCCGAGGCGCTGACCCACCCCTACTTCGAGTCACTGCAGGACACGGAGGACGAGCCCAAGGCCCAGAAGTACGACGAGTCCTTTGATGATATGGACCGCACGCTGGACGAGTGGAAACGTGAGTTGGGGGAGCTCTGGGCAGGGCCTGTGGAGGGACCCTGGGAGCCCAGTGCAGGGCGCCAGGGCTCAGAGTCCTGGGTCCCCCTACCTGGGGATGCAGGTAAGGAATACAACAGTCAGAGGGCAGTGGGGCTTCTTGGCCAAGGTGACCTCTGGCTGGAGTTGAAGGATGAAAGAATGTCCCTGGCAGGGGGTTCAGAACTAACAAGAGCAGGAGGTGAGTTCTGGAAATTGTGGGAGGCAGCTCCCAGCTCAGGGCGGTTGTGAGCACCTGGTCTCTCCCCACCCTGCCGGCCCGGCCCCAGGGCTGCCCCCATCTTCCCCATGTCCTGGCCAGAGACCTGGGCCATTCTGGAGCCCCTCTGCACCCACTTGTCCCCCAGACCTCCACTGTTGCCTCTTGAGCTTGTCCTTGTTTCTCTTTGCCCCCGCTTTTAAAAAAAGATTTACTTATTTGTTTTGTGGGGGAGGGCCTGCAGGCGAGGCAGGGCAGGACAGAGGGAGGGAGAAGATCTCAAGCAGACTCTGCTGAGTGTGCAGCCTGACACGGGGCTCGATCTCACGACCCTGAGATCATGACCTGAACCAAAACCAAGAATCAGACTCTCAACTAACTGAGCCACGCAGGTGCCCCTCGTTGCCCCTTTTAGGACCCCTCCCACCTGACTACTGCACACCCCTCTTGTCCCGCCAGCAGGATAAGGCCCACCGCAGGCAGCCTCCTCCACACCCCTTGCCCATCCCTTCTAGTCCCGCTGAGTAGTTCAGACCCACCGAAGCCTGTGCTCAGCAAAGCCGGGCTTGGCACCCACCGGCTGTTGGGTTACACCAAAGGCCCCTATCCTCACCTCTCAGGGCCCAGCCAGCACATGCTGAGCCTCAGGCTGGGCCCAGGGACACCTGCCAGGTCCTCAGGCCCCATGCTGGGACTGGCTTTGCAGAATGGCAGGCAATGAGGGCTGCGCTTGGTATCTTTCTGTTGGTGGCTGCAGGGCCAGCCTGGAGGGTGCTGGGCACATCTGAGGACAGCAGTTAGGTCCCGTCCTGGCTCTGCCTCAGACCCGGGGCCTTGGAGCTGCACATGGGGCTGGGGTGGGACAGGACTGGTGGTTCTCAGACCCTGTTCCTTGGCCACTGGGCTGCTCCGTGCCTCTGGCAGGGCCCCACCCTTATTTGTGCTTCTAAGTTTGGTTTGGTTTGATGAAAGTTTTCTGTTGCTAAAAAAGATAACATGAAAACCACGGGCCACAGAATCCTTTCTGTGGTCCCCACCCATACACAGTGGTAAGAGCTTTTGCTTTTACTACAGACCATGGTGAACACATGACCTGTTTGTGGCCGAGCCCCTGGTCAGGAATGCAAACTCTCATCACCTCCTGTTTCCCTGGAAACAGCCAGCTTCACACAGACCTCCCCTGTGTGGACTGACCCCGGTGTTAGGGTTAGATGAAGGGCCTAGGAGGCACCTGATGGGGCAGGAACACATGGGTGCCACGGGCAGGGCCAGCCACACAGATCACCGGCTCTAAACACACAGTGTTTCCTGAACTGGGCTTTGGAGGACCAGTGTCCCCCAAACAGGTGCTGCACTGGCCAGGTGAATATGGCAACGCTGGGGTAGGCTGAGTAGAACCTGTCCCTTTGCAAACTGCTCAGAGGGAAAGCAAGTCAGGCCTTCTCCCTTCCTTTGGGATGGCTTGCTCTGGGAACACATTTTAGGGGCCATGACCAACAGGCGAGGAAGGTAGAAACTGGGTGTTTGTGGGAATTCTTCTCATTTAAGTTTTGGTGGATATTTTGGATCCAGAAGCTGGGGTGTGTTCTGGTAGGATTCTGAGTGGCTCCACTTGAGTAGACACACTGATTTATATTAGCACACGGCTCCTTACACCAGGCTATGGGGCCAGGGCCTGCCTGGCCACCCCAGGGGCAGTGGGTTTGGGTTGCAGGAGCCCCATCAGGGTGGATAGCCCCTGTGGATGGACACAGGTGGGCTGAGTGTGGCCCTAGCCTGGGATGAAGTCATGTGTGAGGACAAAAGCAGCCTGTCTGGTACCTGCACTCCAGCAATGACTTCTGGCTCCGATGTTTTTGGGCACCAGCTGGGCCCCTCGGTCATGGCGAACAGCCTGTGCTCTGGGCCTGGGAGCTCTCCCCTCCCCCACCCCCACCTCACAGGACTCAGTGCTCTTCCTGGGTCACTGGCTTCCACCCTGGGTGTGAATCCTAGGAGGTGATTCTGAAGGGTGATGAGGCCCCTTCTCCCCTGATGGTCCGTCTCTCCCACCCCGACCCAGGTGTCACATATAAAGAAGTGCTCAGCTTCAAGCCTCCCCGGCAGCTGGGGACCAAGGTCTCCAAGGAGACGGCCCTGTGAAGACCCCTGGGCCCCCACAGTGGTGGTGAGGACACCTTGGGGATCCTGGCTGGGGCTTCTACCTGGAAGGGGGAGCCTAATTATCACTGTGACTTTGGCTGGGGCTTACATCCCAGGAAACCTCTGGTTCCATGGATCCCCCCTCTCCCAAGCCTGTTATCCTGATCTCAAGGCTCCCACCTCAGCCTAACCTGGGGGAGCATCTGAACCTTCTGGACAGGATGTCAACCTGACTGGGGACTGGCCTCTGACTCCCTGAGCAGTGGTCCTCTCCCCCAGGTGCAACAAGAAGCCTCAGAGCCTGTGGGGGTGGGTGAGCCTTGGGGTCAAGGCCTGCCCTCTGACCCTGCTCGCTCCAGCCCCTGCTGAAGCCCAGTTCATACAGCTGAGAAAGGACAGGGAGGGCGCAGAGCGCCTACTCAGGGATGTCTCTCCCGGGGGGCGTTGGTGTGGACTCTCCTGCACCCCCAGCCCAGAAAGTGCTATGCCCACGTGGCTGGAAAGAAATAAACCCTTTTGTACAGATCCCACTCTCGCTTTCCTAATTCTCAGGCTGGATCTCCACCTCTAGGCGTCTGAGCTGCAGCCTGGCATAGAGAAGCTGGCCCTGGAGTCTCAGCCCCTGCTCAGCAGCTGGGCCTGGGGACCCCCTTCCTCCCAGGTCCACAGTGAGCCCAGAGCCTGAAGCCCCCGCACTAGGGATGGGCCCCTGCCCTCTTGTGGACTGACCTTCCTCTAATGGCTTAAACTCTGGAGCCAGACCCCAGGCAGGGCCTGATGAGGACGGGGTTAGGGTCCGACCTGGGGCTCAGTCCCAGCTGTCTGAGCTCCCTGCACTCTCCAAGGCCAGGTTCCTGGTGAGGAGGGGTCACGCTTGGCGCTTTGAGACACCTGGGGCACAGCGCACGAATAGGTTCTATTGTCTCCAAACCTCCTGCCCCTTCGTCGGCCACACCCCAGCGCAACGGCGAGCCCGTGCCGCCCTCCGCCAGCCATTGGACGTCTCGGAGAGCTGACAGCTGGGTCAGGGGTCACTTTGGGGCTCCTGCGTCTGCCCTGGCTCCTCCCACCTGTCCCCACGGCAGGTGTGCCGAAAGCGGGGCCCGGCTGTCCCCCTTCGGCCTGGAGCTCGGCTGCACATGCGAACAGCTGACCCAGCCAAGTACGGTCAGACAAGTTGCCAAAGTGGACACCGGCCTTCTCTGCTCGGGGGTCTCCGATACCTCTGGGACAGACGGTTGCCCGGACCCCAGGCTCAGAGCGATCGGGAGGGGCGGTCCGCCACAGGCCCCGCTCTGGAGCCACGTGGCCCAGGTTGGCCACTCAGAGTACGCCACTCCATAGCCACCGCGATTGGCTCAGGGGAGGGCACGTGACCCAAAATGAGCCAATCGGAGTCTGCCCAGAGCTTCGGTAGGACGCCCGTAGCCCGCCCTGGCAGGTGCCCTGATCAGGACCGTGGGGTCCCCTGTGGGGTCGCGGGCCGCAGGGGGTAGGGCCCTGTGGGGGCCGCCGGCTGCATTTCTACCGCCGTAGAGGTCATTCCTGCGCTTCTGGGGCACCGGAGAACGGGATTGGTGGCACTCCCGCCCCAGGGCCCCGCTTCCAAGACCCCAAGTCCCCAGGACCTGCGCTCCCGGCCCCGCCTTCTAACAGGCCCGCCCTCCCCCACGCCCGGCCTCCCGAGGGCCCGTCCCCCTCAGAACACCGCTTTTGAGACCCCAGGGCCCCGCCTCCGATAAGCCCGCCGCTCCGGTACTCCGGCCCACGGCCCCGCCTCCCCCAGGGCCGGGTTGGCAGAGGCCCCGGGTTTCAGGCCTTTGGCTCCCGCATGCCTCCTCTCTCTGGCCGTCTTGCTCTGGGTCTGTGTCCGCGCCGCCTCCTTTCCTTCCTTCCTCGCTCAGATCTCCCTCTGTTCGCCTTTCCCTCCGCTAGGCCTTCTGCCCTGCCTCGCCCCACGCTTCGGCGACCCCTGTCCAACGTCTCTGCCACCACCCTAAGCCTCCGACTCTGCTCTTCGGCCAGGGTCTTTTGGAGCTTCAGTCGGGCCCTGACACTTCCTTACACCTCGACGCGGCCCAGGCGGGGGCTCTCCGGCCTGCGGCCTTGCTCCTGCGGGCCTTCGGCCTCGCCCCCTCACTCGCAGCTGTTCCTCGAGCTCTGGCTAGGATGGGCCCCTGGGGTGCGCCAGACGTGATGGGCTGCGGACGGGTCTGACGCCTTGGCCTGCGCGGTCAGCGTGGGTCTGAGATTTGGGGCGGACCGGGACACTCAGTGGTGCCGCCGTGACAGTCCGCGGGGTCCGGGGCACACGCCCCCCTGGCACACCCGCCCCCTCGC